GCATTCCTAAACTCCCAGGAACTTCACGGTGGAGCAGAACTGAGCCTTTGCCTACATGCACGTATAGCAACATGCCTGTACTCTGGAGCTCTGCTTTCCAAGGAAAGAAAATCAACTTGATCAAGGATACAAAAAGATCATGTTAAATAAAAAATTAAAGCCAACTGGTCCAAAGAATAAGTAGTTTGTGATTAATCTCCACACCTGGAAATAAGACAAATACAAGGACTTTAAACATGACAGCTTATTTCTGTTGTCTAAATACAAAAGTAAGTAGCAATCTAACTGAAATCTCCTTCACAGTCAATGCATCTAAGAGCTATGCTAAGATTACAGGGATCGGCACTCTAACTTCATTAGCTTTTTTAAAATATAACTTCAACATGAAAAGTCACAGTCATTTGTAACACTCAGTTTTGAAAAGGCAAGCACTTGCAAACTCAACAGTTTACTTAAAAACCTCCCACACTTTAGAAAACACTTACTTGAAAGTGTTTAAATATTAATTCAGGGTTGAAATACAGCTGAAAGGGTGTGATTAGTTCTAATTGCTGAAAAAGAAGAGAACATTCGATGGAATCAATACATCAAGAAAAGGCTTTACACGCCTAAGTAAATAACCCCCTTTCTCTGTGCCAAAAAGAGCCCAAGCTCTCGGTCAGCACACTGAGCACTCCAGCAAAAGCCTCCTCAACCGCTTCAGCCCCCCTCACGCTGCTGTTATTTATTTGTGCTTCGCTCCTTTCCCGGTGTCAAGGAGGGCAGGCAGAGGGGCCGCGGGAGCGCTGCTGTCCGGGGACCCCCCCGGCTCAGAAGGCCCTGAGGGGAGGGGACCCGGCCCTGGGGCGCGGGAGGCGTCTGAGGTAACCCCTTCCGCGGGTCCCACGCCCATTCCTCTCCCCAGCCCGCCGGCACGGGGGGAGCTCCCCCCCCCCCCCCCCCCCCCCCCCCCCCCCCGAAGCTCCAGCCTGTGGCCATCTTGGTGGCCCTCTGTGGAACTTGCTCCAGTTTATTGACATCTTTCTTTTATTTTGGGTACCAAATCTGAGTGCAGTATTTAGGTGTGTCTAATGAGCGCTGCATGGGGGATAATCGGCTCCCACAGTCTACTGGCTGTGTTCCTGTTAATACAGCCAGGGTGCTGTTGGCTTTCTTTGTTCAAGGTCTCAATATTAGCAGAACTGTTTCCAGCTGAAAGGCTGTCACTCTTCTATTCTGTGATTTAAGAGAAAAGAATCTCTTTTAAAGCTGTATGTTCAGTACTTTGTGTGAGAAGAGGGGAGTATGACAATCCCATAAAGGGAAATGAAGAAGTAAGAGGTTATTTTGCATTCTCTTAAAATTCCTCATGCATTTATTGCAGTAAGACATTTTAGTGTGTTACAGTGATCCTCTTCCCTTTACTCCGTGACTCTTGTGATGGGAGAGTGTCAGCCACTAATGCCAATGCTAAAACTGAACTTGATTTATAACCGAACGGTATTGTGTTTTGGAAGGCCATTGTTGGACAGGCCAGGAGTTCACGTATTTGATCCCTGTGACTTTTGCTTACTGCAGCCAAATTATCTGCTTCACATATCCCTGTTGTGTTGCGCTGGGCCTCCTGTGGGAGCCGCTTCCCCTCCGCTCCGGGCTCGGCCTTCCCGCCTACTGCAAGGCCCGTCCGCCCCAGGGCCTGCGTTTATCTCCCCTTTCCTTCCCGGCTTTCGGCCGCCACCATGTCGGTCAATCCCATGGCCTACGAAGCGCAGTTCTTTGGCTTCACCCCCCAGACGTGCATGCTGCGGGTCTACATCGCGTTCCAGGACTACCTCTTCGAAATGATGCTGGTGGTTGAGAGCGTCATCCTGAAGAAGCTGGACGGGTTTCCCGACTGTAAAATCAGCCCCTTCCAAATCCGGAAAAGCACGGAGAAATTTCTTCTCTTCATGAAGGAGCACTTTGATAAACTCTTCAGTAAAATGGAAGAAGTGCTTCTTCAGCTGGTGTTAAACATCCCTAAGAACGTGCTCCTTCCCGAGGACAAGGCCCACGAGGAGTACCCCTACAGCAAAGAACAGTTCCAGGCGCTTCAGGATGAGATCCATCAGCTGCAGCAGCAGTACAGGGCTGAGGCGTCCGCTGGGCAGGCGCTGCGAGCGGAGCTGGAGGAACAGAAGGCTGTTCGGGCTGAGCTTGAGAAGATCTTGCAGTGGTTTGATGGGCTTGACAATATCTGTAGGGAGCACGGGACCGGCAACTTCAAAGAAAGCTTTGCATTCTTGACACAGAACTCTCAGAAACTGCAAGGTGTGCTGAAAGATATTGAAGAGAAAAGCAAAAGAATAAAGAAGCACGATCAGTTATTGTAATGGAAATTCTGAAAAGGCAACAAAAATCATTTAGACAGCTTGCTTAAAGTGATAGGGGCTTATCTTTCCAGAAGCATCTCCCCCAGTCCCTTACTCCTCTAATCCTGCCAGGATCTACAATAAAAGCTGTTGAACTGTGTCAGTTTGCACCTATTTAGCACCCCCCTAGGGAAGGAGGGAGAGAAAAAAGCCTTGGTTTTCTGTGAAATGTAACTGAAAGTGGTTATTGGGAATACGTTTGGGGTTGGATAACCTGGCTGTGAATGTTCCTTCCTGACCTTGTGAACATTAACTTTGAACACAACATAGCTTTTGTTTATTTGATTATTTAAAAAAAGAAATCCCCCTGTAAGAACGTCCAAGTGAAATTTCCAGACTGATACCAGTTCAGAGTCGATGTTTTTGTCAGCGAGGACATCAGGACTTTGCACCAGCTTCCCGAAGGAGCTGTGCCCCACAGGCAGCGTCCTGTCAGGGCTAAGGTGCCGTCCGCTGCGTTTGAAAAGCCCGGGACTCGGAAGTCCGTGGAGAAGAGGGTGACGGTGACGCTGCTGTCAAGGCTCTGATGAGAAATAGACCTGTTTGCATCAATACTGAACTTCAGCTCAGTCTCTGAATGCCCGGGTTACTGCTCCACATACGTTTGCCTGTAAGAGGTAGCGTGTGTTTTCTTTAAGCAAGGACAACGTGCCGCTCCATAGCCCGAAGATATGGAAGCCACTGGAGGAAATGAGCAACTCGGTCACTTTGTCCTACTTTAGCTCGTGTTGCTTTATATGTTTGTTTGTTTGTTTGTTTTTGTTTTTGTTGTCCAGTGTCCTCCTTCTACTAAATAGCAAAGTTCATTTTATTAATGTTTAATCAGATTTTCCTGTACGAATGTTGTGAAGACTGGCTGATATGCTTGAGTTCTTTGAAGTCACTTAATTAACCTTATTCTGTCTGTACTTGCTTCACAATGCATCACGGTCTCTGCATCTTTCCCTTGGCCTCAGCAGGTTTTGAACCTCCTGTACAGGCGTAGCATGAAATATCAATGCTAATTTCTACTTTGCTAGCATAGATGTTTGAAAGACATTAAACTTGTGAATAATTTAGAAGTTACTGCAATAAAAAAAAAGTATGAAAAGCATAAAATACGCCTCGCAATTCTTTGTTTTCCGACTTCTCAAAACTTCCTACAGAATCAGCTTGGTAAAACCAGTATCTTTAAACAGAGGTTGCCTCGATGTGTGGCTGGAGACCTGTGAGACTCAGTGGCCACACTCTTGAAATCCTCACGGAGGGAATTCATTTCTGGTGTTGAGCTCTAGCCTGCGTAGGGAACGTCAGCCCATGGGGGGGGCTGGGCTTCAGAAGACCGAAAAACAGGCAGTCAGGTAAAAGTTATTTCTTTAGGAAGCCAGTAAGTGACTTAAGTGTTATCTAATATTCTCAAACTTGAAGTTAGAAGAGTAGAAAAATGTCGTGATTAGTCCAATGGCCGCTGTAGAGAGTCTTGCTGAAAACGCGTGTCTTTGTCCTCTGCCATCACCGTCAGTTCTGTTGCAGAAATCAAGCAGCCACTGGTCTGTAAATCGAATGGAGATGCGTAGATATTGGTTCATGTCATGCTAAATTGTAAAGAATAACATTTGAAAAACCTGTTATGAAACAAGAGTGATAACGGGAACCAAAGAGCCCGGGAACGGTTCCCCAAGAGAAGACCCACAAGCAAGAACTCGACAAAGGGGGCTGAACCCATCGATTGCTGCCGGTTCTTCAGGGCAAGCTGGGGGTCGTCGCTGTCCAGATCTCGTACTGTCACGCTGTAGCCACCGCGGCCCTCAAAACCATCGGTAGCTTGTGTTAGAACTGAGGAGGAGGACGTGGTGCTGATGTGTCTGAAACCTTTCGCTTTCTGTCTGCCCCCCCTGAATAACGGCGTTGCTGCGCACGGGGGACGTCCCGAGC